CTTAGCCAATTTGATATTTGAAATATGACCATATTAGATTATTTGACTGAAATTGAAATAAGAAAAATTATACTTAATTATTAAAAAAATTAGCTTCTTAATTTTAACAAGATAAAATAATCAACTCAAACACAAACAAATTATTTAAAATAAAGCTACTAATTATGCTAAACTAATTAAGTTTGCATACTTCAATAAAAATGGTGTTTTTGTTGAAGTAATATTCCAAATATCCATAAGAAGTAATAATCATATAAGTCTACATGTCATTAAAAAAAATAGAAATATATATATTACTTATTTTATTAGAAAAATGATAAAATTATCCAAAAAAAACTTTTTGGATTTTATAAGGATATTTTATAAGGACAAAATATATATACCAGGTTTTTGTGCATTTTTTACCTATATGCTGTCACAAATAGTTACTGTGTCAATAGGTAAATGCCATAACTTGCGTTACTTCATGTTTTGATACTGATAAATTGTTATCATATTACAATTGTTTGTTTGTAATTGATCGCTAAAAAAATTGTTATACCATTAAATTAAGAAAGATTCATCAAAACTAGTGAAAACAATCTCTAAAGTTTATATTAAGGTAAATTGTTTTTATTACTTGAGGTGTGACCTTTTTTCAAATCCTATTAACGCGAATGTTTTGTGTCGAGCTATCTTTTTTAAAAAGTGTATTTTCAAAAGTCTTAGACAAAAGGTTATTTGGTAATATAAGTACAATTTTATTCAACGTGTATATAATTTTTTAAAAAGTAAAATCTTAATTGTTTTTAATTATTCATTTTTATATATATTTCGAATAAGGAAAGATTTAATACATAAAATTTAGTTAATTTTAAAATTCTAAATGTCATATAGATAATTAAATGATTATTTTCTCAAGTGTGAACTATATTTTAAAAGCATAAAAAGAAATATTTTGCTATGGGGCTTCGTACTTTAAATATTTAGTAACTTAATTTAAACTTCTCGTTTTAACATTTATGAACTGTATTAATACAAACTGAAGTTACGCTTTATAATTTATTTTCTCGTACTATGAATTGAAAAATTGTGATGGATAATTAGTTAAATCAATAAAGAATGAATTACTACTTCTCTAAGTTAACAAAATTAGAATTAATTTTAAAATTTTAAATGTTTATATCTCCCCCCCAAATCCCAATATATGTAAAGTCGTTTGATTGGACACGAAATATAAGAAATACAAAAAGACCAAATTGCATTTATTACCGTTACTTTAATACTACTTACTTTTAGTTGACTTTTGTTCACAATAAAGTGTTGAGTGGGATCCAATAAGAATAAAATGGATATGGTGCAATTTAATCAGGGAAGGTGACTTTTTTTTTTTGGATGAATAAAAAAAAAGAATATTACATAAATTGAGATAGATTAGACTTTTAACATAGTCCAAATAAGGAACATTTATAAAGTATAATTCTAATTAATTTCAAATAGCTACATCTTACAAATAAGTAAAGATGATAAATGATGATTTTCTCTATTATTTTCCCCCCTATATTGTTCAATCAACATTTCCATAATTCCATAATTTCCATAGATAGAAAAAGTGAAAAGAATCTAGTCAAAGATTAAATTATAAAAATACCCTTTAACTATTAATTAATTTTCTTAAAATCATTTAAACAATGCACTTTTCATTTAATATTTGCTTGAAATTCAATGAATTTGGACGGTAGAATTTTATGGTGAATTAACACTCCTAATTGCAGCAAAATTATACCTTTAAATATTTTATTTTTTTCTTCTTCCCTTATTTAATTAGGTCTTTATATATTCCAAATGAAGTATTATATCATGCTTCATTTATCTATTAAGGTAAAGATATTTTTATTTTTTCAAAATCTCCTTCTTATTGTTCACAAAATTCTCATAGTTTTTCCATTTCTTAATTCCTATTTTTTCTCTTTGTTATTTTGAATTTAATTGATCTTTTTATGTTCTTTTTTGTTCAGTGAAAAGAAGATCTTGCTAGTAGAAGTCTTTTTTATAAAAACATAGAAGAGAGTGTTACATGTTATATATATTGGTAGAAAAATTGATTGAAGGCTTTTCAAAATTTCGTCTACTTATCAAGGTACCATTTTATTCAATTTTACCTATTTATATATTTTTGAAATATAATATAAATTGGTTGAAAGGTTTTATAAGAGTTGTATTAAAAGGGGCTGTATTTTATTTGCATCTGTTTTTATATTTTTGAGATATTCCAGACATTTTCTAATTTACCCAAAAAATCATTAATGTTTGTATTTAGGATGCTTTGTGTATTGGGTTTGAAAAAAAGTGTTTTTTTCAAAAGTCTAAACTTATTATTTTGTATTATAAGTATAATTTTATTCAATATGCAATTGTTCTTTTAAAAAGTAAAATTTAGTCGCTTTTAAATTTCTATATTTTTCAAACCTGGAAAGATTTAATATATAAAATTTAGTTAATTTTAAAATTCTAAATATGAGATAAATAATTAAATGATTATTTTTTCAGTGTGAACTCTATTTTAAAAGGATAAAAAATAATTATATTTTGGCTTAATAAAATAATATTTAGTAACTTAATTTTAACTTTTCATTTTCCTTTTATGAGATATATTAATGCCAAATGAAGTTACACTTTATAATATATTTTCTCGTATCACGAGTTGAAAAATTCTAATGGATAAGTAGTTAGTTTAATAAAGAAATGATTACTATATAAATTATCAAAATTATAATCGATTTTAAAGTTTTAAATATTGCAATCTCCATTTTAATTTATGTAGCGTTATTTGACTTGACTTTGAAATCTCTGTTTCAATTTATGTGACGTTATTTGACTTGAACGGGGTTTAAGAAATAAGAAAAGAGTTTGTTAGGTTTACCAAATTTTCTTCATTAAAGTTAATTAGTACTCACTTATTTTAATTGACTTTTATTCACAATAATGTGTTGAGTGGAATCCAATAAGGATAGAGTGTTGATGACAATTTTATCTTCTTCTTTTTTGTCTTCAATAAACATTTCTATTTCTATTTCTATAAATAGAAAAAGTGATAAGAATTTAAGTCAAAAGTGAATTACATAAATATCTCATAACTATTACTCTTTTTGTCTAAATAATAATTGTCCACTTTTAACTTGATACATATCTTATAAAGTAATAAATAATAAGAGTAATAAATAAATTGAATTTAACATTTTGAAAAATATATTAGATATTGAATATTGAATAGTAAAAGTAAAATGGACATAAAAGGATAAAATTATCTAGCAATTTTTCTAAACAAGACAAAAATTATTTGACAACTATTTTTGGTATAGTAAATAAGTAAATATGGATGGAGGTATAATTTATTTTCTTAAAAAGATTCACTTTTCATTTAATATTTGCTTTGAAATTCAATGAATTTGGACTGTACAGATTTTTGGTGAATTAACACTCCTTATTGCAGTAGAAGATTACACCTTTAAATATTTTATTTTCTCTTCTTCCCTTATTTAATTAGGTTTTATCTTTATATATTCCAAGTTAAAATATTATATCATTCTTCACTTATCTATCAAGGTAAAGAAAAGTTCTTTCAAAATTCTCCTAATTTTTCTACTTCTTGATTATTTTTTTCCCTTTGTTATTTTGAATTTAATTGATTTTTTTATGTTCTTTTTGTTCAGTGAAAAGAAAATATAACAAGTCGAAGTTTTAATAACAATAGAATATAGTGTTGGTGGCAGAAAAATTGATTGAAGACTTTTTCAAGATTTTGTCTACTTGTAAAGGTACCATTTTATTCAATTTTACCTATTTATATATTTGTGAAATATAATATAAATAAATTGATTGAAAAGTTTTGTTAAGAGTTCTAACAAAAAGGTGTTGTTTTATTTTGTTTGCATCTGTTTTTATATTATTTGAGATATTCAAAGCATTAAAATAAGAAGACTACGTTTAATATTACTTCTCAGTTTTTTCTGTCAATAGAATATAATAAATTAATGTGACACAGATCGAAAAATGTTTTTAATATCCATCATTATTTAGTATTGTTTTTAATATTTTATTCCTCTATAGTGTTTCGATTATTATATTATTTTGTAGTTATTGCTTCCTTCTGATAGACTTTGCACTATTTTCTTGTGATTCAGTATGTTTTCTTCTTTGTATATGAAATTGCTGCATTTAAACCGAGGGTATGTTGTTGTTGATCGAAAAAAAGGGTAAAAATTAAAGTGAAGTCATAATTCACGTGCTTTCGAGTAAAATTTACTTATATAATATTGATTTATTTATATACTTTGAATAATATTTTATTCTTGTATTGTGTTTCAATTAGAGCATTATTTTGTAGTTATTGCTTCCTTCGTTTAGACTTTGCACTATTTTCGTGTGATTCAGCGTGTTTTCTTCTTTGTATATGAAATTGCTTCATTTAAACCGAGGGTATGTTGTTGTTGTTGATCGAAAAATAAGGGTAAAAATTAAAGTTAGGTCATGAAGTAAAATTTACTTATATAATATTGATTTATTTATATACTTTGAATAATATTTTATTCTTGTATTGTGTTTCAATTAGAGCATTATTTTGTAGTTATTGCTTCCTTCGTTTAGACTTTGCACTATTTTCGTGTGATTCAGCGTGTTTTCTTCTTTGTATATGAAATTGCTTCATTTAAACCGAGGGTATGTTGTTGTTGTTGATCGAAAAATAAGGGTAAAAATTAAAGTTAGGTCATGAAGTAAAATTTACTTATATAATATTGATTTATTTATATACTTTGAATAACATTTACATTTTGATTGGATTGTGTATATGAACAACTAAAACTTTGAAATCAATTGAATAACTATTAGCATGAGCAATCTTTGAGTTCACTTATTATACATGTGTAACACACGTGTTCAGAAACTAGATTTAACGTAACATTTCACTTTCTTTGTTTGTGTATATGTTGTTAAGTATAATTTATCAATGTAGGTTTCAAATGGTGAGAAATGGAGATGAGGAGGATGAAGAAAGGGGAGGTATGCGGGTGGAATCAACAGAGGATGCATTCAAGGACGAATATGTGCCTCCGTGGCAGAAACAAATAGCGTTGAGGGCAATGGTGACCGGATTGATCTTGAGCGTTGTCTTCAACTTCATCGTTTGCAAACTCAATCTCACAACTGGTGTTATCCCTTCTCTCAATGTGGCAGCTGGACTGTTGGGGTTCGCGGGGGTTAGATCATGGACTGTTGTTATTGACAAGTTTGGCATGTTGAAGCAGCCTTTTACAAGGCAGGAGAATACTGTTATACAGACGTGTGTCGTTGCATCTTCTGGCATTGCTTTTAGCAGCGGGACAGCAAGTTATATGTTGGGAATGAGTCCGTATATAGCAACTCAATCAGGGGCAGGAAATACCCCGAATAATACTAAGACACTTTCTATTAGTTGGATGTTTCCTTATCTTTTTGTGGTTAGTTTCGCGGGCCTTTTCTCAATTGTGGCATTAAGAAAGTTGATGATAATCAAGTATAAGTTGACATATCCTAGTGGAACTGCAACTGCATACCTTATCAACTGTTTTCACACTCCAAAAGGAGCTAAGCTCGCGAAGAAACAAGTTGGTTCATTGTTCAAATCGTTTGGGTTCAGCTTTATATTCGGGGCTGTTCAGTGGTTAGTTGCACGGGATGAAGGGTGTGGATTTGGTAGCTTGCATACATTTGGTGCTCAAGCTTATGCTAAAAGGTTCTATTTTGATTTCTCGTCTACATATGTTGGAGTTGGTATGCTTTGCCCTTACATGGTCAACATATCATTGCTAATTGGTGCTATAGTATCATGGGGTATAATGTGGCCATTGATTGAAGAAAAGAAAGGGGTTTGGTACTCTGCTGATTTATCCGCGACAAGTCTTCATGGTATTCAAGGATACAGAGTATTTATCGCGATTGCCATGATGCTTGGTGATGGTGTTTTTCATTTTGTCTATATGTTGGTGGTTACAGTCTTAAGTTTCACAAAGAGGACGAGTTCTCGGAAAGAAGATGAAGATGACAATAAGATACAAAACGAGTACTTCTTGAAAGACCAGATTCCTAACTGGGCAGCAGCTGTGGGATACGCTTGTATTGTAATCGTATCTATCATTGCGATTCCCATTATCTTCCCCTCACTCAAATGGTATCAGGTTTTGGTTGCCTATTTAATCGCTCCTATTTTGGCCTTCTGCAATTCTTATGGAGCTGGCCTTACTGACTGGTCCCTTGCCTCAAATTACGGAAAAATTGCAATCCTTACGTTTAGTTATTGGGTTGGTTTGGAGAACGGTGGAGTGATTGCTGGGCTCGCTTCATGTGGTTTGATGATGTGCATAGTAGACACAGCTTCTGGCTTGATGGGAGATTTCAAAACTGGTTACTTAACCCTTTCATCTCCGCGTTCCATGTTCTTTAGCCAACTCATTGGAACTGCCATGGGTTGCATCATAACCCCTCTAGTCTTCTCAATTTTCAACACTGCCTACACATTAGGTGATCCAAACGGTCCATACCCTGCACCATATGCTCTCATGTATCGTGGAATCGCCTTACTTGGAGTCGAAGGTTTTGATAGTCTACCCACTCATTGCCTCAGCCTCTCTATTTGGTTCTTTCTAGCTGCAATACTCATCAACCTAGTCACTCAGTTGCTGGAGAAATTTGAGACCAAGTATAGAATTTATCGATTCATTCCGAGTCCAATGTGTATGGCCATACCATTTTACCTTGGAGGGTACTTTGCCATTGACATGTGTTTAGGGTCATTGATCCTATTCGGTTGGCAAATGTATAACAAGCAGAAGGCAAAAGATTTTGGACCTGCAGTGGCTTCTGGTTTAATATGTGGTGACTCCTTGTGGGGAATTCCAGCATCTGTTCTTGCTCTAGCTGGTGCCAAAGCTCCATTTTGCATGAAATTTTAGTCAGATAATCGTTATTTCAGCTTTACATGTTATTTTAAGGTATGGTATTTTACTATTTAGTACCGTTGAGACAAGTTGTGTTTCTATATATTCTTCTTGTTTTTGAATTCATAGTCATTTTCATAGACAATTTATGATTTTGTTTCCTACATAGCAAAATGCTGCACGCTCTATTTGGTTTATGTATTGTATGGATAGTAATGTGTACTTGGCTTAGCCGTGTAAGGTAGAGTATACACAAATTTTACCCGTGTCTTGTGGAGTTACAGAGGTTGTTTTCGAAAGACAAATGAGGCTAAAGAAAGAAAAAAAAACACTTGACCATGTTAAAACTTTAATCACAAACTTGACTTGTAAAACGAGGTCATCCAACTTAAAGGGCTGACAATTAATCACTACAGGACTTCAATACACCTCACAGAATGATTCAGATTTTACACTCTTTATCATTCACAGCATCAGGCACACTATCACTGGACAAACAACTTCAAATACCCAAACTCGTCCTCATTGTGTCTTATGAACACTCAATGTTGATGTAACATATAAATTTTAGAGGTACCTAGATGATCATTTTCTAAGTTGCAGTGTTCAACTGGCACTACGGAGACAAGTTGAGGTGTCTAAATATGCATACTCAAAATTGCTATATTTACTTGTCAATTGAGGCCAAATTCGAGCATACCATTAGTTATACAATTCATATTCATTTTCTAGTTTTACAATTCATATTCATTTTCAGGGAAGACCGTGATTACCAGCAAGACAGCAATTATGTTCTCTCTTTATCTTCATTTTCTTAAGATCGCTGCCACTATGAAGGCGGTGTTATGATACACGGCAGCCGAAAGGCGAAGCTAGGATTTCAACTTTATGAAGTCTGAATTTTACAAAGACGAGTTTGTTTAATTAATAATAATTGAGTTCTAAATTTAATATTTATGCATATATAATGAATTTATTTTTACAAATACACTATTTTGGACAAAAGCTACTATGTTCAGCCGAACCCACATGCAGACCACTAGCTGTAGTAACTCTAACTGTCCTAAGCTAACAAAATTCCTCGTCGCATAAGTAGTGACCTGCACTAATGGTGTCACGCTATCTCTGTTGCTGGACAGGGAATTAACTCTTTTGTCTCTATTGAAACTTGGAATACCCTAAAAGGAAACATTTACGTGAACCCAAATAGAAAGAAGAAAAATCACATACACAGATCTCTGGATGTGTAGTTCCTTCTCTTTTGTTTTCATGTTTGTAAGAAATCGGTACAATCTACCTAAAAAATTCACTTGGTAGTTAAGTTCTTACGCGATGTCGGCAACCTTATGCTAGACGTACTCACAGAGGAAAGCATTTAGCAGTCAATCTCGTGAGAGAGAGAGAGAGCAGGGATTGAGGTGGTGTCCGTGCTCAACGAAGTCGAAATACTATCCAAAGTAAACTAAAAGATTCAATAGAACAAGGCCTGCTCCATCAAAAGAAATCAAACTATACAAAACTCAAATGCAGAAAAAGAATATTAGAATATGCTTTTTCTTAAATTACTCAACTCATATGTACAGAGAAGAGAGCTATAAATGAGAAAATTGGGTGAGACTTCAGGACTTGCAATTGGAAAAACTCCTATCAACTAAGTATGATACACAAGGGGGTCAGGGGCCAAGGCCAATTGGACTTTGGGGAACCTGAAATGGATTATCAACGCATGCTGATCTCGCTGTTATCTCGGGTTGCAGAACAGGGAAACAAATAACCAATGCCTTGCTATAAAGTTATGCATATCTCCTCTACATGAAGTAACTGAGAGATGTTTTCTTTCTTGATCCGCCTTCTCCATACAAATCATTCCACTGGAGAAGCTCATTCATATTTGAAGATTCTGATGATACACTGGCACATACCTGCATTTGTCAACACACAAACAAGTCATGAATCTACTAATGATATCAACATTCAACATCACGTATGCAGCAAGATATTTCTCAGAAGGAACATGATATCGATATCTGATTGAGGTTATCAAATTAGCTGCTATCATGGAGGAATCAAGAGTGATGGTCATGTGATCACATTATCTCAACTTCTCTTCTTCATTACAGATAAGGGGGAATTCTGGAGCATGCAAGCATAATAACAAGGATAAGATTAGTTGCCTAAAGAATAGCATTTGAGCTCGTAAGTCCAAGTACCAAAGTTCCTCGGACCCCCAACATGGCTTTACCCAATGGGCATCCTCTTAATCACTCGTATCCAACTATTGCAGGCATTGCACCGTTACAAAGATGGTGATGCTGTATAGGGGCCAAAGCAATTAGCTGATAAAACTAGGACGCAAGGTATATAACGTGGCTACGCACCATTAAAAAACCACCATTATAAAAGAGAAGAGTATTGGAATATCTCTATATTTCGCTTGTCAGATTAAGGGCCACCCAATGCAGGTACAAGGTCCCTATACTAACGGCTGACTAGGAGATGTTACTGTAATAAAGAATCTTTAGACTTGCAACCCAGGAAAGAAGCCACTAGAAAGAGAGAATTATCTCGGTTGGAGCTATTGATCTTTCAAGATGAATTCAGGCTACCTCATTGAAACCACAAAATGTTGCGGTGGACTCTAGTGCAACCACATGAACCGAATTCTGTTTTAACTACTTCACCAGTAGCATGTAATAACACGTGAGAACCAACAACACTCACCCAGTTAATATGATTTACCCTTAATTGTATGACGACAGCTCCCAAACCCACCAACAAATATATAATTAAAATAAAACTAATCACTTGAGTACATATCTATCTAACGTTGACGATCTGCAACAGGTTGACATCCGAAAGGATCCCTGAGAGTCCCAAAGTTCACTTGGCAGTAAATAAAGTTATCAACCTTTCTCCTGAACCCCAAGTAAATTTCACAAAGAAAGTAGAATGCAACACATAAAAATCATCTTAACAAACCACAGTATGTGCTATTGTACCTGCTCATGTGCATACTTAAAATCATCCATGTTAAGAGGACGAATGTCTGCACTACTATGCAATGCCGGTGTTGGCCTGTTCTCTGCAATTGCCGATGTTTTCTCCTGAAGTCATGCCCCAAAAGAAAAGAAAAAAAGAAAAATAATCGATAGATTAGCAGATTAAAGTGTAAAGACACCTCGCAGATGATGATGACCCAATAATTTCAAACATCACGAAATGAAACACACACATCATGAAGCATAACTAAACGACTTCCAAACAAAATTAGTGATAGTTGCATTTTTTGTATGTTGTGGATCCAGGTCACCAATTCAACCAAATGTTGAAAGGTTACAGAATTATAAGGAACAACAAGACAGAACTCAGTCGACTGACCTTCTTCTCCTTCTCCAAAATTTCTCTAATAGGGCAATGCGCAGCGCTCACACATAAATTCTGGGATAGGAAATTCAAAGTGGCAGTAAGTATGATATGCAACATGGAATAATAAATGCAGTTATTTTGAAGGGGGATTGCAAAAATTAATGCATTAGGAAGTACAAGTAATCTTGATCCAGACCTTTAAATCACTCCCTGAATACCCGTCCGTCATAGTAGCAATAGCTTCAAAATCGACATTTGGGGCTAATTCTTCCTTCGCCAATATAACTCCCAAAATTTTCTCCCTATTTGAAGCATCTGGCAAGTTTACCATTAACCTGCATCAAAGGTACACTTACGGCATCACTACCCATAAATCACTTAGACATCATGATCAATCAATCAGTTACATAAATCACAAGGAAATAATTAAATTTAAGTTTTACCTACGGGGAAGCCTCCTAATAACTGCTTCATCAAGGTCGAAGGGTCTATTTGTTGCAGCAAGTACAAGAACCCGTTCCTTGTCTTTCGTACGCAAACCATCCCAATTAACCATGAATTCATTCTTCATCTTCCGCATAGCTTCATGCTCTCCCGGATTTTCTCGTCTTCCCAACATGCTGTCCACCTAGTAGACATGAAGAAATGGATGGAAAAGGAAAATATAAACAAGAATGACATAAAGAAGAAAATTTAATAACTTTATAGGGATGTGAAAAGGAAAATCAAACTGTCATCTACTTAGGAAATAAATTTGGGGCAGCGATGGTTGCATTGTGCAGAAAATGTCACCAACCTCGTCAACGAAAACAACACTAGGAGCTATTTTACTAGCTAACGTGAAGACTGCTTTGACATATTTCTCCCCTTCACCGAACCACTGGCAAGAAAAAGTTGTCAACCATTTTAAGAAGGACAAGTCAGAAAAGAAATGGCAGAAACCACATATCAGTAGTACCTTGGATGTAATGCTTGACATTGATATGTTGATAAAGTTTGCACCAGCTTCAGTAGCAACAGCTTTTGCAAGCATTGTTTTACCGGTACCTGGAGGTCCAAAGAGCAATATTCCCTTGCAAGGCTGCAGATAGCATCTTATTCAGAAACATAAGTGCATACTTGATGAACAAGTTTTAATAACCTAAACCTCCCCCAAAACCAAAAAAAAAAAAAACACACACACACAGAGGGGGAAATGAAGATGCCAATAGACTTCAACATAAAGCAAATTCCTTTTACCTTGGTCAGCTGTCCTTTACAAAACAATTCCGGTCGCTGAAGAGGCAGCATCACCAGTTCTTTCAGAGTATCCTTGACAGTTTCCAACGCTCCAATGTCATTAAAAGTAACACCAATATCAGTAGGAGGAATTACATCCCCAAGTAGTTTCTTCTCGAATTCATTTTCAGTAACCACATCCTGAAAATCAAGCACCCATCTCACAATTCAGGAAATTCAGAACGAGAAGCACCTTCAAAATAAGTAAATTTGCACAGTTGAGAAAAAATATTAGAGCCTTCACCTTGAGGGATTTCTTTGAACTCTTGGTTTCACCCTGAATGCCTTGAAACATACTGAGCCCATAAGCAATGCTGCGAATAAAAAGACATTTCAGTGACATGTAAACTAACCGAAAGAGCTTCGCCCCT